ATAAATTTGACTGACGTAATTTTCTGAACTATATAAGATAGGAGTACGATAACTCCAGCTGTTTCTTTTGTTATGTCAAACTGTGAAAATAATTATAAATATGAAGAAAAAAGTCGCAAACTTAGTCAACATCACAAACATTCCCTCTAATATAATGGCTATTACGGTCTCTCTGACTAAATATTCCTTCAACTTGTGATTGAACAATTATTTTTTGTTTCTCTTACACCTATTAAATATAGATGCATATATTGATACGATACCTAATTCCTCATATTGTCCTAGGATATTTATCAATAAATTCTCCAGGATCTGATGATGCCTCGTTTTTTTTTTGCTTTCAAAGTTAATCCATGTGCAAAGTTCATTTTCCATGCATCCTTAAGCAAGGATCGTCGTGAAACATCAAATAAAACATTGTTACACGTATTAAAAGAAGATAAAGAACTGTCACACCGTTTGTTTCTCCTCAAGAATAAAGTTTGTGTCTATGAAAAAAAGAAAATTTTGGAAGTAGAAGAAAATTTTAAATATTTTAAAACTGTTATCTAATTACTAAATGTGGTGATAATACCGATGATCTCCATCTGCATTTATTATTATTATTATTATTATTATGAAAATGAAATGAATTTTATTCCATATAACATACACCCATGTGAAAGCTTAAATCATTTCCAAGACATCAATAATTGGAATTTAATTTTTGAATGGGCACGGCTTTATGAAAAATATTCATTTTATAATGAAGTTTGTCATTATTATCATCATTATTTATGAAAAATAAAGAAATGTTTCACGATGTTTCGTAATGTTTTGAAATATGACGAGATGTTCCGATATATTTGTAAAAAATTTTAAAAATTATGAATAATCTTTAATAATTGTATTTTTACAGATATAATTGATTCAAAAATATATAGCTAATGTATATGAGATATTAATTCAGACTTGAATTCTTCTTTATGGAAAGGATATCGCCTCGGAGGTATACATGAACAAGAGCTTGAAGAAAATTACATTATACATGTACACTCAAATCTATAGATGAAACAAATGAGCTTAGTGAAAAATAATTCGAGTAAAATGAATAATTCAAACAAAACAAATAGTTTGAATAAATGAATAAATGAATAAACTAATGGCATTGTTTGATTCAACAAAACTCACAAGTCTACTGTTGTTTGTCTTCGTTGTGTATTTTGGAGGAAAGGATCATTTGGGTCGGAAAATGGGAACCTCTTCTGGAAGTTGGCTGCAATAGTAGTTCAACAAGTAAGTTGAAATGATTTAGATATGGAATTTTTATTTGATAGTATGATTTTTATTATATTTAAATTATTCAGATACATGTATTAAATTTTAAAATTTTTAATATTAATAAGTAATTTATATATTATATATATTATATAAGTACATCACTTCAACTTGTTAATGCTATAAAAAATGAAAACATTAATTTGAAAAGGTAAGGAAATAAATAATACTGTAATTACAGTATACTATATTTATTTTTTTGACAAAATCATTATTTTAGTGTGCATATTTGACATCCAAATTTCAATGAAAAAAAAAACCTCAAAGATATATAATATCACTATTAAATATAATTCATTTCTCAAGATATTTAGTATCAAAACTATAGTAGCCAAATAAATAAAAATAAAAAATAAAAATGACA